TTAGAATTAAAACCCATCAATTTATAAAATATTCACAGTAAATGACAAAAAGAATAAATACAAGGTAACAACACAGAACAGTCTAAATGATAAGAACTTAATGATGAAACTGCCAAAGTAAAACTAATTTTTGATCCCCCAAATCTGATCCATGACCGTGGGGTAGGGGAATATTTTTACCAGGATTGTAATCTTATAATGGAAAAAAAAAAAACTGTCTCTTACATCTATAAAACCAAAATTACTGCTATTTAAGTAGCTTAAAATAGCACTTATTACTTATGGTTTACCAAATAATCAAGTCTATACCTCTAGATTGAAGAAGGTCAACTTCTTTCAGTGTACAGTCAACATTTATCTGGAGTTGTCTGTTCATGCTTCTCAATCTTGTCATTTCCTCAGGCTAGTAAGAAAGGACCCAAAATAGCAATTGTGGGAAAGTCATTATCAAGCCCGACATTTAAGAACTACGTTTCATGTTAATCGTTTTGATTGGGTATTACCAGGAATATGGCCTTAGTCCATAAGGGGCATGTTTAAGAAGTCCTATGTGAATGTTTTTAAAGGAATAGTCAGGTAAAATGGGGACATCAAAATGGCCAGGTATAAATAAAATCTGAATATAAAGTGGCAGGTTACAATACTGAACTGTGTTCTATCATACAAGATGCTATCATTTTAATCACAGAGCACTGAGAGTATTTTATTTCTATGTTTTCATGGTAAAGGAAACTGTAAGAATCAACCTTTTAAACAAGCAATGTCCATGATCTTAGTCTTATCCAGCCTAGTAAAAATTACAACAGTACTAATTTTAATTAGTGCTTATTAAGGATCAGGCACAGTGTTTCCCAGAATTCTCTCATTTCTGCCTCTAAATAATCCTTTATGTTAGGTACTAATATCATGCCCAACTTATAAATGAGGAAACTGAGGCATAGAGAGGTTATATAACTTTCCCACCAAAGTTATAAAGCTCGTAATTGGTAGAGCCAGGATTTATAGAAAAGGCCTTTAT